AAATCTAGTGGTGCATGTAAGTTTAGTTGTTCCAAGTTATCTAGTTCTTATATATCTAATGCAACAAAGTTAACAGATAGAAAAAAAAGTTCGAAAATATTTTGTAATTTTTCCAATAATTTGAGAAAACTGTCAGAAATTCCTAAGGCGTTCTCTCTAGAAAGTATCGTAACAGATTGTCATTTATGGAATAGCTATAAGCATTTGAGTTCATTATGGGCATGTATGACAAATTCACAAAGAAATGTATTAATACTGACTGAAATTGTTAATTTAAATCTTAAAGAATTAAGCCCAAAAAATATTGGCAAACAGTCACAATCAGTGTTAATAAACAACCAAATATTAAATGATTATTATTTTCTTTCATTCGCTTTGCAAAAACAGTGCAAAGAACAATTTTTTTAAACGAGTTTTCTCCATTTTTTTCAAATATCAAGGAACCTTCAACTTTACAAAGGTATTTAATACTATAGCCATAGAGCAACACTGGCCACCCGCGTACCGGAGGGGAGTCACCATACGCAGTTGTACCCCTCTGTCGAAGTATAAGTCCACACGGTCCTTTGCATACAATAAAAATAGTTGCAGCCGTATTGTGCACTATACTGAATCTAGTTGCGCGGCTGAATTGACGTTCTACAAAAATGCCGAATTGTTTGGTATTTTTTTTGTTGCAAAATGTCAAATTTACAAAAAAATGGCGTTATCTTTCATATACAAGTAATTTTTAATCACATTATTACTATGTAGTTCTTTGTATAGGTACTTAAAAATTAGAATAATAATGGTCGTGTTGTTTCTGATTTGTTTACCAACACAGGCCGCTCGCCCTCATACAATATGCAGCTCATTCGACCGTATGATCGGAGTGATCGCTGTCATCGAGCGATACTCTTATAATGTTTTTGTGTGCGCAGATTCCCCCGCAAAAATGACAGACAGTTCTGTATCTGGAAAAAACGCTATGGCTCCCTCCGGTCCGACGGTGGCCCGTGTTGCTCTATGACTACAGTAGTGATAGTGCTTAGTACACTGAATGTACCTGTGGTTTTTACAAGAAAGAATTACACATTTGAAAGCAGTGAAAGAAACTGTAACCACCTGTGTACCTAAAAATAAAGTACGCACAAATTAATCAAAACGTAAAATGAAATATTTTACGTTTTGATTAATTTGTGCGTATAATACTGAAAAATATTCTTGTGACGACTTCCACCCCAAGCTCGGCGAGCTCCTTGGTCCTCTCGAAGGTAATCCCGCTGGTAACCATCAACGTATCGTCGGCATATTAAATTATATCTATACTAACGGGAAGGTCGACTCGCAGAACCGTATCATAGTTTCCACAGTAGCGGTTCCAGTACCGAGCTTTGTGACACCCCAGGTTTGATCTCCCTCCGGATCTTCCCGTCATCCTGTCCCATGTACAGAATATACCTGTCGCGTATGTAGTCCCTGATAACACCTTGCAGGTAGGAGAGCACCTGATGGTGTGCCGGTTCCCTTCTGATTGCGTCCTAGCGTATAGAGTTAAAGGCGTTGACGATATCAAGACTTATCGCCTACGCCACTTCACCCTGTGGTACGCACAGGGAGCGGACGCACATAATGGCATCTACTTTGGAACGCTCACATACGTCGAGTTGTGGAGGGTTGGACGATCCACTTATAGCCGGTATCAAGTTTTTACCATAATTGCATTAATAATTTAACAGTAATTAATTAAAAATGCATTTTGGTATACGAGTATTATACGTATATTTAGACAACAGAATTAAGTAAAAAACGGGAAATATTTAACAACATTTTTTTCAAGGAAAAACATAAAAATGGGGTTCTTGCAAGACTTAATTAAACTATTTGGGTATATGGTAATAGAGAAAAGCTGCCATTACAAACAGATTTATCTGATTAATAATAATTATATAGGCTATTAAAATGTCGGCAAGCAGTCAACATCAAAGAAGTGCAACTTTCTGTACGTAGTACTATTATTTATTCTGTGGTACAGCGCTTGATGACTTAGAAGCGATTACATGCTCATGGTAAACTACTTCCATTTAGTATTTTGTAATCAACATGGACAGATCCATTATTATCGTTATGCTTTGTTCAGAAGAAATAGAAAAACTTGATCGTAATAAATGCAAACGCAAACGACAGTGGGTCGGTCGCCACCTTTGGAGAAAAAGAAATTTGATTAGATAATACGCGACATTGTTGCACCCGAATTAAAAGAAAAACAATATTAAATTTAAAGAGTATTTTCGGATGAATATGCAAAAATTTAACGAAATTGTAGAGCTATTGCGACCAGGGTTGCAAGAGCAAAATACAACATGACTTCTGTTTACACATTCTCTCGATGATTGTATGCGAAATGATTGCGAATCAAATGTATCAACTTATCGTAGACGACAGCCCGCGTACAGCGAATGAACACGGTGAAAAAGCGCTGAAAGTGACAGAACAGCGTTGAACGCGGTGGAACAGCACAGAACGAGGTGGAACAGCGTTGAATGAGGTGGAACAGTGTTGAACTCTGGCGTTAGCGTGCGTATAATAGAACACACTTGTCCTCATTTTATGGCTGTTTGCCGCGAAAGCTGAATAGACGCGGAAAGCTGAACGGATGCGTACGCATCTCCATACAAAACTGGTGTTTTCTATGAGATGCGAATCAATTCACAACTCCCCCCCCCCTAGGGGTTGAATTTTCCAAAATCCTTTCTTAGTGAATGCCAATGTTATAAAAGGCAGTTATTGTCCAATAGCAGATTTCAACGTCGGTGGTGGTTTGTACTGTGGCGTTGATAGATAAGTTAGCCAGTCACTCAGGATTAGGACAATCTCTTTTATATATTTTTTTTTTAGGATAAGGGTAACAAACGAGCACACAGTACACCTAATGGTAAGTGGTTGCTGTGGCCCATAGACATCTACATTTATCTGCAATTACGAATCAAAATGCAGATGCGTTATCACCCGTGAGGACGAAGATGAAATGCCTCGTATCAGTAAAAAGGGTCTCCGGTTCGCTACACTAACCATACGAAACACTTAAGCTGCTGTTCACGCTAGTATCTATTCTATGAGAGCGTGGTCTTTCCCCGGTCAAGCAGACTCATTCGTGCTACAACTATACCAGTAATATAGCTGCAGCATGGCTTTACCACATACAAAAGTACGTGGTAGAGCGTACAAATTATATATATTGGTTATATTATATTTGTTTGTTTAAGAGTGTGCGCAGATGCGATTGAAAATCGCTGTTATAAAGTTCGTTGACGAGGCACTCAAGATAGACATACCGTCACACATCCCTGAAAATAATCGAGGAGGGTTGGTAATACCATAATCCATATTTTGAAAGCGAATTTAAAGTAAAGGAAAATTATACTTAAAAAGTAAATATGGAATACAAATTCAGTAAAAATAATAAAATATGCATGCAAGGTTTCCTCAAGATGTTTTTCTTCACCACTGAGCACGTGATAAATTAGCATTTAAACATTAGCAATTTCATTAGTACCGGCGGAGATCGACCCGTGAAGAAAACAACAGCTGCCATTCAAACCCAGGATGCGTGACATAGTAGCCAGATTCTCTAATTATTTAAACAATACAAAACGTAAACAAATATTAACAAAAAAGATTATAATCATGTCTAGGTGGTGAACTCTTTTCCTGCCTAGGAGTCTGTTTGGGTAGCTACCACCATCTTCCCTATCTTTGTCGTCAAATGGCAGTGCTTGCACTATTCTGTTCCGGTCTGAATAAGCTTACACAGTCTGAATATAATTAATCGTCGTCGGTCGTGAGGCATTCCGCCTTAGTCCTCAGAGGTGACAACGCATCTGTGGCCTTCTTTGCTTGAAGTTGGTGCCAGGTGTTCGTGGACTGCAGTAGCTAAACAGTAGTTAAACAGTGGTAGAGCCACGCGGCAGCTTTTGCTGTCGCACGGATGGGCCGGCTCGAACCGGGGTGGTACCACGACCGCACAGAATACCAGCGTGAAGTAGAGGTTTACCTCTGCGTTTCGTTTGGTGAGTGCAGGTGGCCGGAGGCCCTTTTTACTGGAAATGAGGCATTCCATCTTAGTCCTCACGGGTGATAACGCATCTGCATTTTGATTCGCAAACGAGGATAGATGTAGATGTCTATGGGCCACAGCAACCACTTACCATCAGGTGGACTGTGTGCTCGTTTGTCACCCTTATCCTATAAAAAAAAGCCACTTACCACCACGTGGTACTGTAAGTTCGTCGGTCACATTAGTTTTAGAACAATAATTTAAAATTAAAAATTTTGTACAGCCGACTTAAATATAAGTTATTAAGAATAACTCAAATAACTCAAAAACTATTGGTCTGACCTTGATCAAATTCATATGGGACCACATGAGAAGTATCAGCTTTCATATAAAAAAAGAATCATCGAAATCGGTTTACCCAGTAAAAAGTTATGAGGTAATACACATAAAAAAAAACACGCGTCGAATTGAGTACCGTCTCCTTTTTGGAAGTCGGCAGAAAAACATGCGTGAGTGTTGTGGAACACTCGGTTGAAACAACGTTCCTTTTCGTAGTATATTATTATCGATAAACGTATTATATTATTGATTAACAAATACAAATAAATGAATTACTAGCTTCTATTAAAATGAAGCCTAGCCCCCATCCGCCAAATTCGTACCGTCCGATAAGAACTTCGTTTAAAAATATTTTACGTAGTAGGTTCACAGTGCATGTTGTGTTATGGGATGAAAGCGTTGTGATTGGAGAAGGATCAAACTTTCGCAGAAATACAGCATTATGCCGCTAAAATTCGCATAATGACGATTCACAACGCATCTATCTTCAGGATAGACTACGCATGTGTTTTTTGACTCTTAATTGACGATATATGTAGGTGTCTAAGGGCACTGCATCCTCGTACCATCAATTAGACTGTGTGCTCATTGTAACCTCAGCTTGTATAAAAAAAAAACAACTCACGGTCACTGGGGGCCGCTGCGATGCCCGCCATTATTGTGAATGTCATCACCGCAACACTTAGAGAGGCCATAGTTACTGGCGTCAATTTACACAACTTGCTTTATATATAGATGACCGTAACGTACGCCCACGAATCACATTAACTCAATCCATATCGACCTTGACAATTAGATCATCGTATGTCCACAATCAGTGCTGCGACGTTGTATGGTTGCGGTCACTACGTTTGGTCCATTTATTGCGTCCTGTTAGGTCTATTGTTACCTGTGTTGAATAATTATATAATATGTCTATTTATTAGATTTTGTAACGTGAGAGTTAGTGATACAGTGAATTTAAAATTTCATTTGCATAGAGTTCAATTGTACAAACAAGTTACACAGTTTGTGCGCCATTATTTCTATGCAGTTCTTAACCTCGGATGGCGAAGCAATGTGATGTTTTTCGAGATTTTACTATCAATATTTTTAAAGTGAAAAATAGTAATGTTAGCAAGTCTTCGTAAATATAAATAAAACTCAGAATCATAAAACTTTATTTTTATTTTAGAGTAGGTACTGCTGTCCGTGTAGCTCCGTAGTATTCGTAGCCCCTGAGCCAAGTGCTCGCTGTAAAGTTCACAGTGCGCGAGCGACCCGGGTTCGGTTTCCGCCTGCATCAATGAAATTGTTAATTGCAAGTTTAAGTGCTGATGTATCACGTGCTCAGCGGTGAAAGAAAACATCGTGAGGAAACCTGCATATCTGAAAAATTAAAAAAAATATTTCGAAGACACGAAGTTCGCCAACACGCATTGGGGCAGCGCCGCGGATATTCGTTGTTCTATAATCCTGTGCTGAGAAGACCTGTGCCCAGCACTGGGACGTATATATAGTCTATTACTTTCCTTTACTTTACTTTTATTGCAGTTCATGGATACCTACAATAGTTCTATAGTCAATCTTAAGGAATCAGTTGAATTGCCTCATAATCTGTAATTATCAGGGCTCTCATGCTTTTTAAACCACAATAGAGTACATAATAGTACAAGCACTGCACTGCCATCTATCTGCCGCAAGTTTTCGGCATTTCCCTATGTCGCCTCTTACGACACCTCCGGGATGGTTACGGTGACTGGTTCTCTCACGAACACAACACAAAAATTTGGAATAACAATTGTTTTATTTACACAAATATTGAAAAAAAAAGCTACTTCGACTGATATTAAACAAAGTGAGGGCATTTTGCGGAATCGTGATTGCTGCTATTACATACATTATCGTTTAAATAATGGCTTGGAAGTAAATTGAGGTACTTTAAAATGGGCAATTTTGTGTTTAAATTAAAACCACGTCATCACATGTTTTTTTATAGGAACAGGGTGACAAACGAGCACACAGTCCACCTGATGGTAAGTGGTTGCTGTGGCCGATAGACATCTATATCTCTCCGGTTCTTTACACTCACCATACGAAACACAGCAGCATAGTTAACCACGGCTACCTCCAGATTAAAATTCCGTGGTTAACTATGACATTGGGACGTCATACACCTCAGTCCCCCCCGTGACCATGGGTGCTGTAAAGTGCTTGAAACGTCGGGAAAGTAAAATAAGTTAATATACGCGATAAAATCCGTAAAATTAGTTTTATTTAAATGTGTAGTGTTCGCGTAAATATAAGAAAACAGCAGCATTAAGCTGCTATTTTACGCTGGTATTCTGTGAGAGCGTGGTCCTTCCCCGGTCGAGCCGACCCATTCGTGCTACAACCATAATATAGCTGCAGCATGGCTCTACCACGTAAGATATAATAATACAGTTATAATACAGATGTGAACTAAAAGTTAAAATAAAGCAACGAAACAAGTATTCAGATGGTAAAATAAACATAAAGATATTTAGTACTCCTCGGGCGGTCATAACATACAATAGTCCTGTTCTTTTCTTTTTTTTCTTTTTTTTTTAAAACGTTACCCCCACACTAGGATTTTCTCCTGTATCGTGGAGGCAGTTTACAAACACAAATTTCACAAGGACAAACATCCAGACCCGAAACAATCATTTGTAGGCCATACAAATACTTGTTCCGTGCGGGATTCGAACCCGCGCCCCCCAGCGCAGCAACTCATTGCTAAGCCACTGCGCCACGGAGCCGTCAAATACATACTTACCATAACTCTTTGCAATAGTCACCGACATATTCTGAAAATTGTGAAGCATTAACATGATATTGTGAAGAAATTTTTATAAATAAATAATTATAAAGTACAATAAAAACTATTGTAAGACTGAATAAGCAAAAGCAGAAATTCAGCCTATCCGATACTCCTCTATCATTCTTATCCGTTCTTTCTTGCTTTTTCCTTTCAATTACTTCTTTTACTTTCTTATTTAGATCTCTAAAGACTGCCTTTTTTCTTTCAATATCATCATTCATACCGCTAGAATTACTAGCCTTGATTGCTAGTAAATCTAGCCATGCTTTCTTCTTTGCTTCAACTTCCATCCGTTCCTCATCATCCCACCATAGCGTGTTATTTTTCCTTTCATTCGTTCTCTTATTTACACTACATACTTCGGTAGCTGCATCCACTAAACCTTTCATGACATTATACCACACAGTCTCCAAGTCTAAATCATTCATAGACAATTCAGCCATACCATTTATATTTTCTCTCAATCTACATTTGAACTTCTCTTTCACACCTTTATCTTGTAACCTCTCTGTTCTTATACGCTGTAACGCAGTGGTAGGACACAGATGTCCGATGCCGCCAACGTCTGAAAAGACCATTAATTCGGCATAAGACTAAGTATTGGTCCGTCCCTACGTTAGACCCCCGGTAAACCCAATGGTTTACCGGGGGTCAATCATGTGTATGGGGGTCAATGGTAGGTACAATCTACCAGCGCGCTCCTCATTCTTTCATCAACAATTATGAAATCTATCATTCTTCTATCATCACATCTTTCCCATGTATACATGTGAATCCTCTTATGACGAAAGGAAGTGTTCGTCACAAAAATATTCTTTTCCACACATACGGTGAGGAGGCTTTCACCATTGTCATTTATACTTTCATCACCAAACGTTCCCAATATCCTTTCATAACCAAGCCTCCTCACCCCAACCCTTCTATTAAAATCTCCTAATATCACAATATTTTCACTAACCTTGCATTTCATTAGCACCATCCTTACCAACTCCCAAAACTGCTCTCGGATATAAGTGGGGTTAGACATGTCTGGGGCGTAGACTACTAGAACAAACAACTTCTTTAAGCCCACTTTCATTCGTATCCATAGCAGTCTCGGGCTTAAACATTAATACTCTTTCACACAATGACCCATTTTTTCTCAAAGGATGATACCGACTCCCTGGCATGCCCGCTCGGTCTCGTTTACACCAGACCAGTACGCGGTATACATGCCATGTGTAGTGGCATTCTGTCCCTTCCGTTTCGTCTCATTTACACATAACACGTCTATTCCTCTATCATACATCATATCGCATACTTCATCCATCCTATCATTCATTGGTCCACATACATTCAACGTAGCCAGACGGGCTTCCGCAATCCACTTTTGGCGAACCTCGTCGCCGGTTTTCCTCCCGGAGATTCTTCGCACCCCTGCCCCATTAAAGGGGCGTCGGGAACTCAGAGCCATTTCGTAAATTTTTTGCCTCATGGTGCGAAAGTAGGGGGTGGTATTTACACCGCTACCACACGGCGAGGAGCCAAGTCTGTTCTTTCGGCTTTGTCGCTTGTTTAGCACCACCCGGGGGACGCGTGTAGGGTGGGCTTAGGATTAGGTGATCGAAGCCTACGGACGCGAGCAACTCATCCCCCAGCGACTCATCGCAATATCGGATAACTTCCAGGCAAACATAAAAATATTCTGGAAACTCGTAAGAACTGCCAGGGGACAATCAAAACAGCCTAGAATGAATGCTGTACGAGACCAAAATGGCTGTATTCTGAATGACTAAGTTTTGGGTTTAAGGTGATGGAAGGAATACTTTGAAAGCGTGTTTATGAGTGATGAGACGTTTGAATTAAATGCAATAGAAATTCTGAAAGAAGAGGAAACAGATAGAGACATAAGTATAGATTAAATAATGAAAGCAATGAAAAGTATGAAAGCAGGTAAGGTAGCCTGATATGATAGAGTATCTCTCGAAATGTTAAGGGCTGGAGAAGGAGTGGTGGCAGACCTGATGTACACCTTGTTTAATTTATGTTGGGAACTTAAGCGGGTACCGGGAGACTGGTGCAAAGCCGTGATAGTCCCAATATATAAAGGAAAGGGATCACAGCAGGACTGTAAAAACTACCGTGGTATCAGCCTTCTTAGCATTGTGGGAAAACTGTATGCTAAGATGCTAATTGAAAAAGTTATGAAAGATACTGATGGAAAAATTTGGGATGTGCAAGCGGGATTTAGAAAGGGAATGGGATGTACGGATCAGGTCTTTTCCATGTCGCGGAGAAGTTTTTGGCCAAAAACCAAAAAAGTTTTTTGTGCTTTCGTGGACTTAGAAAAAGCTTATGACAGAGTGGACAGGGATGTGTTATGGCAAACACTGAACTCATTTGGGTTGAGTGCTGGTTTGATACAGGCATTGAAGTCTCTGTATATGGACTCTAGTGCTTGTGTCAGGATCAACGGGGCCTACTCGGACTGGTTTTGCATCCATAAATGTGTCAGATAGGGCTGTGTGGCCTCCCCGTGGCTGTTCAACATATTTATGGACAGTTGTTTGGAAAATTTGAAAGTAGACGAATGCGGGTTAAGAATGGTTGAGTTAACCGTCAAATGCCTTTTGTACGCCGAAGTTCAAGTCATACTTGCGTCGTCGGCGGCCGAGTTGCAAATGATGGTTACATTATTGAACAGGATATTAAAAGAAAAGGGAATGAAATTTAACGCAAGTAAGACAAAAGTTATGGTTTTGAAAGAGAAGAAAGTAAAACGATATGTGAAATAAGAATAGAAGGGGAGTTGATCGAGCAAGTAGATGACTTTGTGTATTTGGGATGTGTATTTAGCAGGGATGGTCGATATGATAAGGATATAGAACGACGAGT